CATTGATTTTAATGTGGGTCACTTGTTCATTTAAATCAGGAAGAAAAACAGTAGCCACCCACAAATGGGGAGCTTTGCCGAAGTAGCTAAAGATACCTAATTGGAACTTCAAGAAACAAATGGAAAGGAACTGCACCCCTCTTTTCTAACTATATGCCTTCTCCACTCAGAGCAAAGTATCCATGTACTCTACAAAGCTCTGTGTGTATCTATGCAATCATGACTATTGCGTGAAGGTCCTCCCTTCAGAGATGTTTCAGAGGCAGAGCTGGGATGGGAAAGGCGTTCTTTGGAGGTTAATGTACAAAATATACTGCTGGGATCAGCCTGTGTAAATGCCTGAAGGCAGATGTTGTTAAAAAAACGGATTACAATTTTTCAGAACTTGCTACCATATTATGTTTATGTGTCAGTGAAGTAATTCCTCCTTCACACGCACACACACAACCCCTGCTGTTGTTTGGGGGTGGACGGGGGGGTCTAAAAACCAGCATGGTTTTCAAAGGGCCAAAAGCAAGAGCCAGGCTCCTCGGTAGACAAGCAGATCTAGGTCACCAGCAACATGGCTCTATAAAAAGGCTGGACATAGTGTGGTTTATTTATTCCTACCTTTTTAAAACACATGTACACGTGCACTCCTTAATGATCCAGCTAAATCCTTGACATTATTTTGTGACCTATTTTTTTGGGCCCTTGAAATGCAGTGAGATAAGCACACTCCCAAGAACGCTTGAAAAATTGGAAACTCTGCAGATAAGCTTAAATGGCCTGTATGGATATGTTATTTTTAAATAGGTGATGGATTTACTGTATTTAATGCTTGATTTTATATTCATTGGGGTCATGGCTTGCTGCTGTTTTGTTCTGCATAAGATTTTTTATTCGCTTGTATCTCTCATCAAGGCTGGGCACACAGGTTCCACTCTGATCAGCGCACAGTACTAACAGTAATACTCAAAGAAGACAGTGTGTAAAACGACCTGTCTGGCACAAATTAATTAAGCTTTACTAATCCATTCTAAAAGGACTGTACATTTATAATGAAATAAATATATGAGAGTGACAATAGCACCAAGCATTTAAAGGTCTTTTCTGTTAATGATTATGCTTGGCTTGTTTACTGGGACATATTTGAGTCCACAGAAGAATGATCTTCTATGATAAACAATGTGACACATTTGTACATAGTGATAAACGAGCAGCCTCTGGCAGCCTGCACCTTTGTCCAGAAGTCCATTGAATGAACCTAACTTTGAGTTCCATAAATCATGCTTGCTGGTCAGTAAAGACTTGCCTACTGCCAAAGGCAAGGTCTCGTTCCCTATTGTTTGTGCACCGGAGTGAGCTTAGTGCAGCTGAAGTAATTCCTTGCGTTTAATGTAGATGCTTTGACTAGTTTGAAGTTCACTCATATGTAATCCATTTGGGACATGCTGCCTCATTTCTTAATGTGTAGCCGTGATGCTGCCACCTGACTTTCCCAGTACACAACATGTTTGGCTGAAGTTGTATAGCCTATCTTGAAAACTTTCAGATAGCTCTGTGTGAGCCCATGAAGCAAGCACGCGTCAACAAGAGCAAGCATAAGACAATTTCAGTTTTCTTTTTGTTTCTCACTTTATTTTGTACAATTCCTGCCATTCTCTTCTTCCGTCCATCTTTATTCCTTTTACCTTCTTTTTCCTTCTGCTAGTCTGCTGTTTCCTTTATTTGTTTCCCCTCCCTTTCTTTCAATCTCTCGGTTTCAGGATAGGCCTCCGGAGACAATACGTCGTGTCATGTGTCTGGAGCATCCCCAGTGACAGCTGGCTAAGCCAGATACTGTAAAAACAATACCTTGAATGGGCACGTTTTATAAAGGAGAGTGACACTAAAGGGGGAATTGAATACTCCAAACAGATCCAGCTTACATCTGTAGAACAGCGGGAAGAGCAAGTTTCTCAACG